GCATAGCTGAAATTTTAACCCCAGCTGGGCAATTCTGGTTTTACTGCCCCAAGTAGTGACACGACAGGCACGTCTCACACTCCATCGTGGCTCATCAGCACCCCAGTCCTCTCCAGGACAGCTTGAAAGACAGTGGTAGGAAGAACTTTTCATTTTTTATTGTAAGCTGAACTTCAGATCTAGAAAGTGTCACACAGCAAGCTCAAAACTTTTATTACTCCAGAGCCTGGCCTGTATTTCTTCCACCCGCGGACCTGCATTTCAGCTCCTCTCCTGTTTCGGGGCCCTGTAGCACATGGCCTCACCGTTAGAGAGGAAAATAGACCCACAGGAGCACAAATACAAATCTCTTTCAGGAAAAGCAGGCAGTCCCTCCCTTGCCCCAGCACAGCAACAAATCCCTCCTGCCGGGGTTCCAAGGCGGCAGGGGAAGCCCTCCAGTCTCACGGGGAAAGGCCGCAGGGCTGAGGCTGGCGGCCACAGGACCAGGACTCCTGTCTGAACGCTTGGGAGCAAAGGGAGCTGCATTGCCTCTGCAAAATAACCCACCAGGGCGTGGAACCCGACAAGGCAGAGCTCTGAGAGAGCATATGAGAGAATACCCCCTCCCAAAGGAGCTTCCCTCTTCTGTGTTGAGCAGGAAGGTGCTGACGCCTGCTGCAGCCTCCACTGCAAACCAGGCCCTGGAAAGTCCAGACGAACACCAGGCTGCTGCACGCAGCTGACACTAGAAACAGAAAGGCCTCGCAGTAAGCTGTGGTGGAAATGAGCTTTCCTAGGGAGCAGACTAAGATCTGTCATGGTTTCTGCTGAAGGGTGTTTCTTGCAGTCAAAACGTTTAAAGAATCATTTACACCCTCTCAGGAAAAGGCCAGCACAAAATACTCTGCAAATACCTGCTTGTTACTAGGATGGTGAGTGATGATGGAAAACGCCCATCCTGGCAGCACAACACCCCCAGGGCTGATCAGAACTGGACCTGTTGATGAAGGTGATAAGCAGACAGGAGAACACCGACATTTGCACTTCGCTGAGCTAATTTACTTTTTAACACACTTTTAAATGCTGCTGCTGACAAAAGCCAAATCAAGCATTCACTGGAACAGCAAATGGCTTCACAGTTATCTCCAATACAGTGTTATCAGCTGCTAAGGGTATTTGTCTCCAACTGCAGGAGACAAGGACAGGGGCTCCCAGGTATCTGTTACTCACAACAGACACTCTGGAAATAGCTCTATGAAACACACACCTGGGGGCACCTCTGAGTCATTTCCACACCCAGTTTTGGGGAAACAGGAATGCAGAGAATGTGGGTTATGCTGCTCTTACTTGCTGGAGGTACTTACCAACACTTCCCTCGGTACCTTAGGTGAAGGCAGTTGATGGATTTCGCTCCATGACACAACACCGGTAGGCTTACACGGTGCAGAGCACAACGACCCGACAGGGAGCGAAACATACACCCGCAGCAAGGCAGCCGGCATGCACCTCACTGCTGTGACTGAGCCACTTTCCCCTAATAGGATACACTATTTTATAGCATCAGATTAGCTCATTATTGAGAAATTTTACAGATGCAATTTCTTCCTCCTAGGATCTTTTTCTTTTACAGAACTGTACTGACAGACTTAAATCTAGTCCTCCTTTATGCTTATATATATGTATTTATATATCAAAGCTCTATAAATTTAGCTAAATCTTGCTCTGAAAAAAATACCCAGAAGATGATTGCAGCCTCACATAACTAAATTGCTCCATAAAAAACATCAGTTCAATAGCATCCAGAAAAAGTAGAATCAACTGTTACAAATTACTGGGAAAGGAAAATGAGTCCTGACAAAGAAAAAAAAGAGAGGTCTACAAAAGTCTAGGTGGCACAGAAATGATGGAAAGAGATTAATCTCTCGCAAACAAGAATGAGAGGTCACCAAATCAGCAGAAGCCAAGTTCAAAAAAGCATGAAGCAAGTGGTAATGCATGGCAACTCCTTTCCAACCAAAATGACAAGTTTACACTGATTCCAAAGACGACTGTCCCAGCATGTGCATAAAAGAACTTTGAGCATCACCTTACAGACAGCTGACACCATACTTGGGAAGGCTCCTGAGGTGGCACACCTAGAGAAGATTATTGAGAGGAATCATCATATTTGACTGATTTTCTGGGCAACCCATAAACCTGGCACCTCTAGAGACAGATTTAGCTAGGTAAGCTCTTGGTCTGAACCGAACCATTTGCTCTGTTGGACTGGCAGAACACAAGAGCTCCATTCCACTTCCCTCCTTCACTGGCTAACTGGCAGTACATAAAGCACAAGCAGCTACAGCTCAAGCTGAAAATACAGTAGCATCAGGTGCTACAGATGAATTGGCAGTTTTCAGAATTTGTAATCTGCAGGCTGAACTGCTGCAAGCACACACCCATTCTTCATGCATCCCAAACAGTAAGTGCATTGTCATCTTAGAAAGTCTTTAAAACTGGACTTCAAGTTGCTCAGGAACTAAATCAAATGCACATCACGTACCCAAACCCTTGATCAGCCCCTACACTGTTTCATTTTAAAGAACGATGTGGAGTATGAGCACATCTATGCTTCCTCGATTGCCAGTAGGCTTGAACTACAGCAATAGCCTCTAGTTCTTAAATTTCCTTCTGCTCCTGGAAAGAAGAAAGTACAGCTGCCTCTAACCTCCTTCAGCTCACTCTAGAATGCAACCATTTAAAAAAAAAATTAAAAATAAATACCTTGGTGAACCTTACATCTCTAACTCTCAATTACAGCAAATACCTTGGTGAATAGGATGTGCCAATAACCTTACATCTCTAACTCTCAATTACAGCAAAGAAATAGCTACATCTAGACATAGCTTAAAGGAGACCATGGTTGGGTTTGAGTGAGGGGTTTGGGGTTTGCTTTTCAGGTATTTGTTTTGGTTTGGTTTTGGGTTTTGTGGGGGGGTTTTTTGTTTGGCTTTTTTTTTTTGACAAGCAGCTGAATAGTAAGACAGAGATCAGTGTTCTGGAAACAAAACAGCTGCTTTGAGCAAAAGAGAGCTTTCCTTTGAGAGCAAGAATGCCTGTGCCTACACCCTAGGCCAGGGGAGGATTCTTTCAAGGGTGTCACTTACTGTATCCAAGATAGACAGGGGTGGAAGATGATGTTTAAAAAAGAAAAACAACCCAAAACTTACACAACCAAGAGAAGCCCTTTCAAATGGCTATTAAATTGGCATATTTATGAGCTGCATAGAGCATATGCCTTTGGGAGAAGTCAGAGTAATCCCAGATTGAAGGGGTTCAAGCTCTGAGATACTGTGCTTGTAATCAATTTCTGAACATTTCCACAAGCATCAACTGTTGGGGTTTTTTTGTTTGTGTGTTTTGTTTATCATGAACGGTCTTAGACTAAGACTTAAATATTTGTGTGTGCAAAAGCTTACTTGTATTAACAAACACTGGAATAAGAGGTTAGAGACATCAAGTGATCACAATTTACATAGAGGTAACTGGTCTATTAACTGAAACTTATAAAGTGAAAAGTATCATATGTAGACAATTTAACAAACAGGTGTAGAGACTGAATAAATACACAAAGTTCAAAGATTTTTATTCTCTTTATTTAAACACAAATACATTTACAGCATGCGGGTAAGTTAAAACTATATGGCGTCTTCCCAAAACCAATTGTTTTAATGCATCTTAAGTGTACTGAAGTTAAATCATATTCCACAGGTAGACTTGTCCTCATGTCAAATTTAGAGTTACACACAGTAGTGAGTCAGCATTTATGTAAATAATTTAGTTGTTCACCAGAAATAAATATTATTTCACCAAGTTCCTATCCTAAACCATCTTTTAAAAAATATGATCTAGAGGAACATAAAAATAAGAACCATTCAAAGACTGCAAGTTGAAAGAGCAGTGTTGAACATTCCCTGTAGAGACTGAATATTTCAATTTACAAAAAACAGTAATTGTCCTGTCTGGCTGACCTGACAGCCAAACCAGAAAACAAAATAGTTGTCTTTTTTTAATACATTTTAAGAGGCAGTTCTTGGTAAACTTCATAAAAGGTTTAAAATAAAAAAAAGTTTAAATATAAAAAGGTGATGTACACTGAGCTACAAGCTAATCACCATTTAATTTCTTTTTTTTTTTTTTTTTTTTTAAACACAGCAATTCACAGCACCAAACTCCATGATAATTGCCTACAGGAATGAAACCCCCATTCACAGGCTTGAGAAAAAAATCCTGCTTCATTTGAATGTATTTTAAAGACAGTGGGTTTTTTTGTTTTTATGATTGCATATTAACAAATGAAGGCCTGAAAACCTGTAGTTAACATTAAGAAAGATAATGGACAGTGCTGCTTCCATTATGAGAAATTTCATTCAAAATAATTGGCTGTTCCTTTGTTTTTCTTTCCTCGGCATGCTGTCTTTAATCGTGCTCTAGAAGAACTGCAAGTTTGGAGTGTTTGGCAGCCTTAATGAACAACAGTCTTAAAAGCTGAAAACTCCAAAATAGTGAGATTTCCGACTGATACACTCAACCTTTAAAAATCAAACTATTAAAAATTCAGACTACTGTAGATATAGAAAAAAGTGGTTCAAGGTCTAAAATCTGACTACGCTCCATCATAATATAAATATTTTGTCTATTATATTATAAAAAGTTGAAAGTGATTTGCTGTCTGAACAGTCAGAGTCTCAACTGTTTCCACAATCACTGATGAATACCCAGCAAAAAATTCAAGCCAGCACACAAAGTGGTACCAAGTGGGTCTGGAAAGCTCACTGAATTCTTTCAGTAATAGTAAGTTCTTTCCTTCTCAAAGACCTGGCAACTAATTTCTATCCAGAAGAAGGTTGTTCCAAAAATTATAGTGGCTAAACCCTATGAATAAGTTAGGTAAATTATACTATAAAATTTTAAAACCCAGGTTTGGCTCAGTGGGAGTACTGGAGCTCAAAAAGAAAAAACAACACCCCCATGTTTCATTTTGTTAGCTACTTTACAGGACTTTATTGCAAAGAGAAGAAGAATATTCCACAACTACTACTTTGGACATTTCATATACCTACTTACAAATGGATTACAAATACAATTCAGGGTAGCACTTTATTATTTTTTCAAACACATCTCTGGGATTTCCAGATACATCAGTTTTAAAAAATTGTATCCTTTATTAGTGTATCTGAATTCATTGGCCAGTTGGTGAAAAAAAAAATGGATTTTAGTTGAAAGTTAAAATTTTAGCCAAAAATTCCAGTACTGTATATGTAGTGAAATACCAAGTTGAATTTTAGATTGGCTCGTTTCACTATTATAAAATAGCGAGAGTGAACCGTCACAGATACAGACAAATGGACAGACAGGCTCATCAGAATGAAGCAGAATGTTTTCACTCCACCAGACTGTACTGTGTGTAGAATCAGGAACAGACAGATGGGATAATACATTGCCAAAGTCTTTTTTGTAAACTTAGGTTTACTCTTATTACTGTACAATATTTAATTTAAATTACCCGATAAATGGGCATTTAATCAGATAACAGTTAAACAGCCTTGTTCATATCGAACTCCCTAGATCTGTGGTGTAGCGATCGCAGTGCCTTATGGCAGTTGTCGTAAGCACACTTCAGTATTCTTACACTGTACAAATAAATTTAATTCCAATGCTCTATGTAGCATTCCAAAAGAAAACTGTAATGTAGAGTGCTGCTCTAATTCAGTGGGACATGTAGTGTTATGTGAAGTGATAAAAATGAAAGTATACTTAAACACTTGCACATTCCCTAAGACAGTAAGATGTACACAAATTAAGCTAGAAAATTTGAACTAAGATTTTTCTCAACGTACATTCAGCTTGGCACAGTGCAGACTAAATTTAAGACATGAAAGACAAACTGTGTAATGAGCAGAGCTACACTTTAAGTAACACATAATTTCTCAAGACGCCAAAATTGCACTCTAGTTTTTTTGGGTGGGAATCAGTTAGCAGAATTTGTAGAAGGGGGAAGAGCTGTACAGGCCAGGTATAATTTATACATTTTCAAAAAATAATCCTACAGTCCCAAAGGGAGAGATTATTGTCATGGAATGACTCCCTCTACACGATATCCAATCCTCCTCACTCTGCATTTACTTTTCAGCAACTGTAAATGAGAAAAATAAGAGTTATGTGCTTGTACCTCATAAGCCAAAAAAGCCAAGATGTTTGCATTTACAGTAGACCATATTCACTACTCACATAGCCTTTAACAGCCCAATTCTTAGACCACTCTGATAAGTGCTAGTAAAACATCTAGAGTAAGAAATTACACAACACAAAGCATTTAAGCAATGCTGTCTGTTACCAACAAAGTTACAGCACAGTAAACAGACTGGGTAGCCAATCTTCACTGCCTTAACAGAGTAAACATTACAAACACAAACCAATGATAACCCAGCTCCGTTTCCCATGACTTGCTACTTTTCCAGGCCAGTGAGAACTCTCTGGATACCACCTACCACCAGCTGCAAAGTTCTGACTTTGCTGTTTTGGGAAGATGAAATGGGAATGAAGAGCTCATTTGGTATTAATCATCCCAAAAAAGTTTGATTTGCATAGGGAAACAAGTTTTCCATCTCTGTACTTCTTTAATGTTTCCAGAAGAGTAATTTGTTAAATGGTGGTCTCCAAATGTAAAACAGTGCATCATGTTCCTACCGTACCAAAAGTTCTCGTCTAATCAGAAGTTCAGATGCTTAGTATCTGCATTAGTCCTCAAAAAAGGTGTAACAGGCAGTACACTATAGAGAAAAAGGAAACTGGCTACCTGAGGATTCACAAGCTTAGAACCAATTTATATGTAATAGTAAAATAAAGTTCAAAAAAGTTTTGTTCCTTTACTTCCATAACAGACAGGTTCTTCCAAAATTAAGATAGGAAAGTTGGAATAAATCAAGACCACTCTCCCACCTTTAAGTGCTAAACTCTGCTTGGCTCTACAGCAATAGGCAACGTGCTGACATTAGAAGAATTACATGAAAGCTGTAGAACTGCTTAAGGGATTCTTTAGGTGTATCACGTGGGAGTTTTCTGGTTGGTTTGTTAAAAGGTGTTCTAGCCAACACTCAGCAATTTTCCACTCCTTCGTGATTTATCTACACATAGTCTAAAAGTCAAAGTGCTAAGTCTCCTATTTAAATTCCCCAAGACCAACAGCGAAAGCCCTTCTCCAAACCAAGATGCAAGCTCAAAATGTAGTTATTTATTGCTGGTTTTATCAACTATTGTAAGTCCTCTTGAAGTATGAGGCTGAACAGGCTCTCTTCAGTTAGAATTCTAGGCAACATCAGAGCATGTGCTAACTCATGCTAAAGTAGGCATCGAAAATAAATTGGGTCAATCACCGCTTGAAATGTCTCTACATTGGACAGCTGAGCTAGACTGCCTTTGTAGGCAAAGTAGCTATCTGAAGATTATTTCACAATATCAATATAACTAAGAATCCATGAATTGCCAGCTCCTTAGTCATTCAAGGTAAATACTATTCAAGGTTAAAGTACATATCACTTCAACCTCTTAGTAAATAAGAGACACTACTGAACAGAACCAGGTACCCTAACTGGTGCTACAGCCTGATTTTCTCTAAATTGGAGAGAAAGCTTTGAAAAGTCAGTCAGCTAATGAAAAGGAACAAATGGAAACAAGATTAACGTAAGCTGCTCTGGAGCCCTTCAGAAGAGAAGCACCCAGGATTCAATCACCACACAATCATTTTAGGATTATTTTCAAACTGAAGATGCAGATAACCGTAACTAAGGGAATGCTTAGAAGGAATTTAGACAAATGCTCAAAAGTGAAGACGAGGACAGAGAATACAGCAAAGCGTTACTGTTAGGTGACCAAGAGATCAACTATACAGCAGGCGTTCATTAAAGAGACGTGATTCTGTGAGCAACTTAAGCGTACTAAGTACCAGACTACATGTAATTACTGAGGAGATTAGAGAGATTTTCAAATAAATGCACGAATTAATTTCAATTTCTGTGTTTTAACTGGAGTAAATTTTAAATTTACTGGATGAAGGCATGAATTTTTCTGTAAAATGCTTCCAAATTACTGACACATGAAGCAGTGTGCAAACTTAGAAGAACAGCAAATAAACAACATATAAGAATAGGGTCATTTTTTATTTCATTGCTGAATGTTTTCTGAAGAAAACCAGATTTTGAAAGATACAGTAGCTATTGGCTGTGACTGGCAACTATCTCCAATTGACTGTTTTCACATTTTGTTCTACTCCAGCAGAACAACTCCAGAAGTACCATTTTACAACAAACACCAGCCTTAAAAAAAGCAGCAGCACCTCTATACTGCTCCTCTAACTATAAAATTCTGTAAAAAAGTTAATCTGATTATCTGAGTGATTTTATACCACAAAACGAACTGTAATAAAATTAATACCAAGTTTAATCACATATGTAAAAAATCCTACGAGACAAACTTACACTTTGTCTTGCCGTCCTCCGCCTCCACGCAGTGCAACTGGCTGGCTGTTTTGAGTGAACGCACCTCCACCACGAATTGCACTTGGATGAGTTGGAGAAGCTGCTGGATGCTGGCCAGGACGGATAGGCTTAGCTGCATGAAAAGAAACATGACTTACAAATACATACATCACAATTTTACCTCTGATTATTCAAATATACTAATACTTTATTTTGCAGTATCACAAGTTTAATAATCAAAATTGAATACACTTTGAATAAGAAAACAAGTTTAGGAGATGGTATTCTGAGAACCTAGCAGATTAGCGGCAACTGTAGCAAGCCCTGAAAAACAGACAAGGTTTTGCTTTTATTGTCCCTATTAGAATTAAAGCTGGGAAGGCTTTTGATTATTATCATCTTCACATGTACTATCTGCCCCACCTAACGCATTTCCTCGTAAGAGTCCTATTTCTTGGCAATAAGAACTCAAGAGTTGAACCAGAGTTGAACACACAGCTAGACAAAGTTTCATGAGGGTTCCTGGACGGAATCATTATACCCTGCCGTATTTCCCTCATCTGCTTGATGGATAAGCCACTAGCTACTGGTTCTGCATACCAATACTTCACAGATAACACTGCTTCATCAACTTCTTACCACTGTATAAAAATAAAACTTACTATTACTGAATTCAAAACCAGTAGTTTTGACAGGCAATTCGCAAGCTGCATACACTTTGATAAACTGTATTTTCCATCAGTTTTGCACTAGCTCTTACGAGGACATGAACAGTATGGCTTTACAAAGTTCTGTAATATTAAACAGAAGCATTTAAAGTTTCAGCAGGTAAGAGTGGATATAAAGTGCCTACAGGTAGCAATTGCATCAGAGAAACACTTCTCAATTTCTGCCTTATAGGACACTGATCTCCAGTAAGACATGACTAGTTCATCTAGGCATTTAAGTACAAGAGGCTTTAGAGCCGTGGTAAGCTTACTAGAGAATCCCACTTGTCTTCCTGGAGATCACTTGAAAGACAGGAAAGCACCTGACTTCAAGCTACCTTTTGAAGTGACCACAAAAAAAATTATAACTTTATTCTGCAACAGCTCTTTGCAGACCTACAGAATACAAGCGAAGTTTAACTGTATTAAACGCTCATTTCAGTTGCATTAGCATTTAAGAGAAGCATATTGATTACTTCAGTCCTGATACAGGACAACAAAAAGACTGGAACATAGCGTTACTTCTACAACAATAACGTAATAGGCACAGTTACGTCCTCCACTGGTCACACATCCTCTTGGCCCTCAGCACTGGACAGCACAATGGCAGGCGGAGGACCAGGGCAATACAGCTGTTCCCACCACATAGCAAGAAACACTACTAGCTACTACAGATAGCTGTCTTTTCCATTCTTTTCCCCTAGGGAAGGCTATGAAGTAGTACATCTTCTGGAACAAAGAACCAAAAAGGTAATCACAGATCTCAGGATGTTAGTTGTGAGTTTCTGTCTGCCTCTCTCCCCCACAAGATCAAGAGACAGCAGGACAATTCTGGTTTTGTTGTTTAAGGTGATGGCTTAATCTCTCTCATTGCTTTGGAATAGCTACTTACTCATAGAAATTAGAATAGAATTGGAGTGATGTTGCAGACTTAAGACTCACATTCAGTCTACTGCTTTGTTCTAGGAAATGGAACACACATTCAGGCTAGAATTCCAGGTTGGCAAGTGTTTCCCAGTGTGTGCAAAAATCCAGCTAGCAGGAAGAAACCCATTTAAAATAAATAAAAAACCCCCAACCATACTCCACCACCCCCATACAGAGTCTATTAACCAAAATACATCATGTTCATGCATGCAGTTCCAACCAGGGCTGAAAGATCAAAAATATCAGGGGACAGATGAACCTTCAGGGGGCAAGGGATTCTTTACTAACCAATTTGCGCAGAATGTCCTCTTCTGGCCATATTCTTGGATCTTACAGCTTCCTTTATACGATCTACTTCTTGCTGATACCGCTTGCGATCTCGAGAAGCGTTCTCTTTGGCTTCCTTCAGTGCAGACTCCAAAGCTTTAACTCTTTCAGCTGTAGCTCTAAGTCGCTTCTCCAGTTTAGGAAGTTCACAGCGAAGATCTGCATTATCACGTACCAGCTACAGAACCAGAATAGATTATTTTCTTGGTATCTCTCATCACAGAGAAAGCTAACCAAACACCTCCCTGCCCCTAAAGAGGCAAAGCAGTAGGGCTTTTAGTAAACCTAACAGTTAATCAGTAAGATGAAAATCAGTCACTGTGGAAGAACACGCTACCCAACAAGGTACTTAAAGCCTACATTCTTCGGTCAGAGACAGGCAAGCATCCCCTAGACTGATATACTAACTCTGAATACTAACTCGGACCTTCTCCTGTTTAAATGCAGCTCCTTTGTTACATACCCACATGTACCTAAAATAGGCATTAATTTACAGGAAAACATTAGTCTATTTTTTTTTATATCAAGAGACACACCAATATGTAGAAGTACTTAATTATAAAACAGCTACTTCATGACCAATATGCATTCAGCCACTTGTATAATAACGCATCTTAAGTAGTTTGGTTTTAATTGAAACTTGAAATTAAGCCTCATTGTACCTGCTTATGAACCTTTGTAAGCTGTTCAAGATTATTCTCAAGGAAGGAAATCTTCTGTTTTTGTGCAGCACTGCCTCCTGTATCATCCGAGTCAATCTCGGCACTCTGCAGTAACAAAGGCATGGGGAGAGCGAGAGAAGGCTGAGTACCAAATCTGAACTTGCAGATTACGATCAAGCCAGAAAAAAATACACCACAAAGATCAATTCCTCATTTAGTTCTAAACTGAAATTTACGTAGCATTCTTGGAAACACCAAGTTTCACTATAGCATGTTACCTTTTTCACTCTAGTAGCCAGATCTTGAACAAACAGCTTCCGAAGATTGTGAAGAGTCTGAAGTTCTTTTGCCTACAGTTAAGGACAAGAAATAAATTAATTAAAAAAATAACTCTGAAGGAAAAAAAAAAACCACACCAAGTATTGACACATGCTTTGGAATATATTCTGATTATCTTACCACAGTCTCTTCCAAACCCTTTAAATCTTGCCTTGCTTGTTCCCGTCTGTCCTGCATAACCCTGAAAGAGAACAAATTCATCCTGAAACACCCGAGCAAAATAGGAAATTTTAATGTTTTAGAAGACTAGAGTGATATACACTATATGGTACAAATGAAAAATGTCTTTCAGCTATGGTCCTCAATTAAAAATGTAACCAACAGATGACACCACACTCAGAAATCCATATGGGGCGGGGTGGGAGTAGGGGTGTTGCAGAAGGAAAAAAAGAAAGTACTTTTAATATTGAAGGAGTACAATATATTCAGATTCTAGAAACTTACAATTTATGCATATGTCAAGAAAGAGTCTCAGAGTCAGGTTCAAGATGAATACTTGGGGAGATCCTATCCTACAAATGTCCTGAGCTCTGACCAGCTAAGTATCACTGACAGATTCAGGATTTTTTCTTTGTTTTGTTCTACCACCTCAAGCCCCAACACATTTGCCAAAGCTAGCATCATAAACAACAATCTCAGTTTACAGGAATATAACCTCATGATTATCACTTTACAGAGCTTCTGTCTTCCTATTTAACATGAAAGCATTTACTGCACTGCTAATGTTCTTTCCCAGGATTGTTAGGCAATGCAATTACTAAGATGACAGTATACAGGAAAGGAACATGGACTTTTTTTCTTATGACTCGACATTAGAATAGGAAGGCCAGGGACTGCATGAAAATGAAGTGTTCCTATTAAGTAGCCAAAAGCTTCTTTTCCTCTTGAAATTTCTCCTTACTCTGCCAGTTCCACTACTAGTTGACAGCTAAGTGATTAAACATTTGAGGTAATAAAATATTCTAAAGAATATCTCAGCATTCTTTTCATTTTCCAGACTTCACTGGCAAAGTAGTTCCAGGCACTTTATATAACTGTGAGTAAAAAAAAATAAATTAATAAAATGTGAATGATCTGCATTGTTTCTGGCCTGTTATTTGCCGCACACATTTATAATATACAGTGGAAAATAACTGGATTCAAAGAGGCTGGGGGAGGACACAGAATACCAAACTAATTTTTAATGCTTCTTTCGAGTCTTTTGAAGCAGAAAGTTGCTAATATAGCAAGTGCCTTTAAGGGATCAATGCTATACACAGGTGCCTGCAAACAGAAATAAGAAGCAATAACATGGTACATGTATCAACTCTCATAAGACAAGAAAAACCTCCTGCAACTAATGTAACTTTTGTAATCATTGTGGCACATAGATACATCAGGCTAAGACAGATTCACAAGACCAGAGTACTGTTACCAGTGCAGACCAATCAGGTCCCTCTGATTATTTAAAATTCTACACAGTCACTGTGTGTTTTTAAACATGGCCAAAAAGCATACACTTTTGAAAGAGTTTTAAGTACAACGTATTCTTAATTTCTGTAAAGATAAATGTGCCATAATAGGGTCGCTACCGATACTCTAGAAAAATTTCCAGGAGATTATGGTCAGATCTCTGTAAGTTGAGCACTGTTTTTCAGCGCAACCCTTGAACACTTACTTACCTGCAAACAGAACTCAATTCTCATTTTTGCATTAACTTTTCAGTCTCTAATTCACTAATACGCTGTATTTAGTTACTCAATGAAGCATGCAGCTGTTTAATCTCGAGAATAAACCTATTAGAACCACCTAACTAGTTAAATCACACAAAAACCAAAAAGAGTAAGGGAAGACGAGAAGCAAAAAAAAAAAAGGGAACTGTCACACGCCTATTCCAATCTTATAGCATGCAATACTTAGCTGCAAACTGAAAAAAGTTAATTACTCCAACCCACAGCATATTAATAAAGAAAAAGTTGTGACCTTTGTATCTTTCATCATTTTACTTCCAATTTTAAATAAAGGCATTGCAAAGGTTTTAAAAAAGTTAAGTTCAAGAAGGCTCTGAAGCCTCTCTCTTAACAGGCATATCATACAGTGAGAGCCACTTCATCATATTAGGTCACTAGTTATTAAAATGTTACGGGTTCCCACACACATTTGGTTTATGCACCATTATCACTTACGTAAGTTCATGCAGTTTTCTACTTTTTTCCTGATCAGTCGCTTTCAACTTCTCATGCTCAACTCTAAGACGTTCCTGTTCAAGCATCATCTTCTGGTTTTGGCTGAACAGAGAAAGTAGACATTGCATCAACTGAACCTGTCAGATACAACATTCAGCAAAGCAACACAAAGCAGAAAGACACTGCTGGAGGAAACCCTTGCCACTTCCTTCCCACCATACTGTGCTTCTGTACTCACACAGTCCAGAGACACTACTAACATAACGACAATTAAAGACATAAATAAAGACAATTACTTACTCTTGAAGTTCAGTGATAAGTTTCTCCTTTGCATCAACTTCATCTCTTAGGCTACTGATTTGTTTCTGATGCGTCTCACGATGGCTCTGAATTTGCTGTTCCACAGCTTGCTATTAGAAAAAACAGTATGTATTATATAGAATCATAGAATGGTTTGGGCTGGAAGGGACCTTTAAAGGCCATCTAGTCCAACCCCCCTGCAGTGAGCAGGGACATCTTTAGCCAGATCAGGGTGCTTAGAGCCCCATCCAGCCTGACCTCGAATGTTTCCAGGGATGGGGCTTCTACCACCTCTCTGGGCAGCCTGTGCCAGTGTTTCACTACCCTCATTGTAAAAATTTTCTTCCTTATACCTAGTTTAAATCTACCCTCTTTTAGTTTAAAACCATTACTCCTTGTCCTGTTGCTACAAGCCCTGCTAAGAAGTCTGTCCCCATCTTTCTTGTAGGCCCCCTTTAAGTACTGGAAGGCTGCTAGAAGGTCTCCCCAGAGCCTTCTCTTCTCCAGACTGAACCACCCCAACTCTCAGCTTGTCCTCATGGGAGAGCCGTTCCATCCCTCT